AACTATCCTTCCTCTAACAAAAGCTGACAATTCGAGAGAACCTTGAGTTCTAGGCATGTTGTAGCACAAGATAATTAGTGTGCGGACCATTTTCATTTATATAGTTCTCTGTAAACACAAATTAGTTAGCATAAATCAGTTAAATGACGAAAAATTAGGTGTCTATTTACTTGTGACCACTCAGTGTATATACATTTTTATTTACTTTTAGCAATATATCTTCGCTTTAACAGTAATATTTTGATGTTCTTACATCATATAACTCCTCTATACATGTACAACAAATCGCGTGTTTGTGCTGCAGGTAGTATTTTGACCTTTTAGATGAATTTGATGTAAGCTGTAATCTTGTAGAATAAGTTGTCAAACTTTACGAATGTGTATGGAACAAGATCTTTGAATTTTAAAACATAGATTTAAAGTGAAAACTGAGACAAAAACAAACTTACATTTAGATGTTCTCGTTAACTGTCAATTTTATTAGAATACTAGAAATACAATAGTATATCCAAATATTTAAAATCCTATGCACAACGTATTGAAATAAAATAGTCAAAATATATTAGTGTATAAATGTCTTCAGTCAAATATCTGAGTAAGAAATACTGTAGTGAATAGAATACGGTGTAATTTAGTTCAATTTTACACATTTAATTAGCATTAACAAGGATACCGCAGCATATCTGGTACATTTTAACTGAAAAGGAGCACAAGTGTGTGGTCTTTAAAAGATCAAATATATCTAAACAGAAAGTTTTAAAAAGCTGAACTCTCGTAATCAATATAAAAAGAACTATATATATACATACATACATACATAAACCAATATATATTTCAAATAACCAGTGCTTAAACGTTATAAGCATACGTGTGACATCTCGTTACATAGTTTCAAGTACAAAATTGGTGTGTATATTGCGAGCAGTAAATGATAACTTAAAACAACAAATTCAGATATTTTATCATTTAAAACATTAAAAGGAGTTACTGTCTCTTTTGGTAGTAATTCAAATTCCCTTTCGCCACTCAACTGAGTTGTTCAATCCCTCTTTTCTCAGTATGTCTCCTCAACATTAACTTCTCAATCGCCAAAAATGGGGATTCGAAGAAAAGAGTAAACACGAATGCCGCTGGATAAACAACCATCAAAGTGCCGAAATATATATATGCCTATACATGAAAAACAAGTTTATTTTTAGTAAAATACACTAATTAAAGAATGTTTGTTTTATCCCTACATGTCTATTGGTGATTATTTATCTAGAATAATGAACAAACACGACTATATAATTTAACAGCTCACCTACTGAAACCATAAGAGCTGAATTACTAAATATGTTTTTCTTATAACGAACCATCTTGTTGTTTTAAACAAACGCTGTAACTCAAATGAAATAACTAAAGTACTCCTAGAATAAAACCATAAAGCGAAATTTGCCGTGTTATACTAATTGTGTGTAATACTGAAAACTTCTATCCGGAGTCTCTTTAACAGATCGAAGACAAACATAGAATGGTTCTTGTAAAACAACTGTCCCTAATGAAATATAAGTGACAAGCTATTGTTGTCAACAGGCGAACAGTGTATGTAATAAAACGTTGTTGAATAATTATATTTAGCTATTATGAACGTGGTAAATACAAATGTGTTTAATACCGTTGTTACTTCGTTAAAACTATCAAAAAGTTGAAGTTTTACTTTTAACTATCGAATGATTCGCCGTTTTCAGTGCATTTAGACTTACAACACTACACCATTTAATAATAATTACATGCAGTTATTTATCACTTCAAGTGTAAAGCTGTGTCAAAAATGTAGCATCGTCCATGCTACAGGCAATAGCTCTGCCCATTAGGTTTAACTTATACACTTGTATATTTATTGACTTGTGCTATATCAGTTACATCTAAACAAACAATACTGTTTAAAGTTGTAATTGCATTGTTTAAAGTGACAACTAAATGTTAGACTCTCCTAGTAGAAATACAACTATGCATCAAAACCTCCCAGTAGTTAACAGACAAAAAATGATAATAATAATAAATAAAGATATTATTCTTACCATGACGTAATGGTCATCTGGCAGATGAACACGGTATCGACTATAGTAGACTTGTTGGACCAAAGGATGAAGCAAGTACGTAGCGAATGTCACCCTATCCAACACCATTAGAAACTTCCAAGAAAGAAATGTATTAAGAAACCCTAAAAGTAGTAAAAAAAAAACCAAGTTGTCAGATAGTCCTAAGTCACATCATAAATGACGTCATTGAAGAGGAAATTGTTTAGTTTCATGCTATAATGAACGCAAATGGTTAGAAAACTGACCGCGTGTTTTCAAACCTGCCCTTTACTCTATTATATTATATTAGATTTAGGCCTACTGTATTACCAGATTAAATTTTCTGTGTTATATGACCTGTATATATTTAGGCCTACTACATTACCAGTGTAATGTACTTCATTATATGTATTTTAAATATATTGCGAAGTTTTAAAAGTTTTAAAACCCTCTAAAATTATTAGTTGTCCACATGTCCTACTTCCTCATTTTGTAAGTGTCTAATTATCTGGTTACCCTTAGTTGTACCTCTGTAAATTATTTTTCTCTTTTTATAATAAATGTCACTTATCTGACCGACACCTGCAATCCGGTACTATTTAAAATAATCCTTACCTCTTGTGTGACAGCTATAGGTTTGAAATAAGAAGTTTCTGCATACATATATACATATACCAGTTCAACTAACCGTTTGATATCATCGATATATTATTTCTCAGAATAGACAACAACGATAAAACCCAAGTTTGAGTGATGACTCAAAACCAGATTTAGAACATCCTTCTAAAACCAGGACTTGGGAAATAGACACATGTAAACACTCACCAGCAGTGTAATTGAGTAATTAAATTGTCATGCTAAAAACTGTCGTTTGCAATACGAACTATAAATATTTACGAAACAAATAACATTGAAAACATCACTTAACATTATGAAAGAAAAAAACTGTAAAACGTCCTTTGAAAATTTTCACAGTTTAAGGCTACTTCATGGTGTAACTTCAAGTTTATATTTGAGGGCGTGTCTAGCTTATCGTGTTAGTTACGTATGGCGAAACTCCCGCCAATTCCCTAAGATTGTAGAATATTCGTGAACACAAGAATCAACAATATATCAACTTCCGTAACCGATATTATCAGAAGTTTCTAGAAAATGTGTCTCGCCTATGAAAACAGATAACAGAGAGAGCTAATATACAAGCCTACTAGGAAACTGTTATAACCGTGTATGCTATAAACTGTGATTTTGCTAACCCTTATTAACTG